GGGGGGGGGGGGGGGGGGGGGGGGGGGGGGGGGGGGGGGGGGGGGGGGGGGGGCTGGAGGCCGCGTCGGGCCTCACCAAGGACGGTGAGGGGAGGGGGCACTGGAGGGACAGGATTTAGCTTTCAGGGAAGTGAGTGCAACTGCTCCCTGGTGGGTCAGAGGCTGAATCTGGGCCTGATGAGGGTGGGGTGGAGGGTGGGGTGGGCTTCCCCGGCTCCCATGTTCACCCCGTCTCTGTCTCTCTCTCCCGCAAAGCTGTCATTGAGGACTCCATTACTGACTCACCTCTGAAAAGCAAGTATCTCTCCTCCTTGTTGCTGCCATGCCTCCTCCTCCTCCAGCATGTGTGGGGTGTGTGTTTGGCCTGCAGTACGTGTTGCGTCCACTGGGTCCTGCGCCAGTGGGGTGGCTCCTCTGCTCCTTTCCCCTCATTCATTTGATCCTCGATTTGTCTGCCACTGTCACAGTTTTGTGCTGCTCTCCTCCCAACCGCTTCTCCAGGGGGCGCTGTGGAGACTCTACGTGGCTCCTGCCCTCCTCCCTCTTTCCTCCTCCCCTTTTGATGGTGTTCTCCAGTTGGCTTATGGCTCTGTCTGCCCGCCCCCCCCAGTTAGCCTTTCTCTGCTCCTGTGCCCCCCCCCGAGTTAGCAGCTGTGTGCCACTACCTGCTTTCCGGCTGGAAATTCTAACAAAAAAGTGCTGCCCCTCTAATTCACCGAGTCCTCTACTGTTTTTCAGGCACCCACCAGGACAACTACAAGGCGCAGTGGTTTGAGCGCACGGAGGACCCCAACACGGGAGAAGTCACCCATATCTACCAGGGTGGTTACTGGGAGGCCAAAGAGCAGGGCAGCTGGGGGACCTGCCCCGACATCTTCTAAGCCCACCGCCAGGCGACAGAGGGCCAGCAGGCCAAGGAATTCTTAACCATGATGATCCCCACCCCACCCCCCCACCTCCACTGCCCCAGCCAAGCTGCAGCTCATTGCCTCTGCTTTTGGTTCTTCTGCTTGAGGGAGCAAGCTGACTCTGTGTACATGTTAGCGACCCCCTGGTATAGTGTCTACCCCCCCCACCCCCTCCGGCAGCTCTAGTGTCATTATTAAATAGCAGGTATTTACCTTTGGACGTGACTTTGAAGCAGTCACTGTTAATGTGAGACTGCCAAGCTTTACCCTTTGTCACCTCTCTGCTGTGTGTGTGTGTGTGTGTGTGTGTGTGTGTGTCACTCGCATGGGTGGGGTTAGCTTAGGGGTGGGGGGTGGCCCCCTTGTGTGCAGGGTTACATTAGGGTTAAGGATGGGCCCCTTCATGTGGGTGGTGTTAGTGATGGTTTGAGTATTAATCATGGGGGTGCACTCCCCACCCCTTTTCAGCCCCTGTAGGATCTCACTTCTACTGCAGTCTTCATACACATTGTATGTCAATGATTTGTAGTTTTTATTGAGTTTGTTTTACTTCTGTCCGCTGCATCTGAAGGCTGACACCCTTTCTGCCCGCCTGGAATCTGGAGAGAAATGCAGTCTGTTTATCACTGCTGGGCTTCTCCGTATCAGCCTGGGAGCTTAGAGAGATGCAGTGTTCCTATGGAGATGGCTTGCTGTCACTAGGTAGTAACTGTAAGGAAACAGCCAGCTGGGGCTTTTTAAATGTAAATGATTGACAGTTCCCTCCCACCTCGACATTTTGTTGTGCTTTGGATTAGATTAGATTTACGCTGCTAATGGACGTTTTTTTGCCTCCTGCTGGCCTCCTTTGGTACAGGCGAGTGTCCAGTCAGCAAAAACACTTAACAGCGCCTTGGCACCAGGCACCGACAGCTGGATGGACGCGTGTGTGTGCGTGCGTGCGTGTGTGCATGTAAGTGTAGAAAACACTATCTGTCACAAATGCTTTCCATTTGTGTGTGTGTCTGTGTGTGCGTGTCTCTGTTCTGATGGGCAGCCAGAAATCGTGGGAAGATGGGACTAGTTCTGGTTGAGGGTTTGTGAGTTTGTTCTGAAAACGAAACATTTTATTTTCAAGTGTACTTAAGAATCAAGAAACCAAGAACAGAAGAAGAAAAATATTGCAAATATTTGTGTAAATATAAATTAGTAGTATTAATGAGTGTAATAATAACAGTAATACACTTGGGAAGGTTATTTTTGATTCTCCTTTAGTTCAAATTTGCTGTCAGCCTTTCAGGTTTTTTTTTTTTTTTAATCAAACAATGGAGCAGTGAAGGAGTGTAACATTCCCTGAAGTCACCGTCATTCTATCCCCTCGTCGTTCCCAGCATCCCATTTCAGTGAACTGCCCTTGTCCCATTCACACTCCTCTGCGTTTGTGTGTTGGGCCCCGTCCCCTTATTTCTGCTTAATTTACTTTGTGATCACGAGATGAATAATGGCTGTCTTCAGGCTTCTCTCGGTCTCCCTCTTCCTGATCATCTCTGTATACTCTGACCATGGCGGGGGATGCGACAGGTGTAACAAGGGACATGCAATCATGCAAATAAACTTTGAAAAAGCTCACTGACATGCCTCTTACATTTACATTTACGGCATTTGGCAGACGCCCTTATCCAGAGTGAGTTGCAGTAGTCTAGTCTTGAGATGACAGGAAATTGAAAAAGTACCTGGTTGGCCCATATACAGAGAATTGATGAACCCTTCTGATGTTGAGGAGAAATCAACATGAGCAGGAAAGATTAGCAATGTGAGAGGAAAAGAACAGATGATTGTCCATTGTAACCCCAAGGTTACAGGTGGTGACCAAAGGACAAATCAGATAGTTGCCATGGGAGATCGCAAGATCCTGGTGTGGGGATGGATCAGCTGGGATGAATAGCAGTTCAGTTTTGCTGGGGTTGAGTTTCAGCTGATGAGCTGTAATCCATGATGAGATGTCTGCCACACATGCAGAGATCTGAGTGGAGACTTGAGTGTCTGAGGGAGGTAAGGAAGGATAAGCTGGGTGCCGTCTCCATAGCAGTGATAGAGCCCATGTGAGGATATTAACTCACCAAGAGATCCAGTATAGAGGAAGAACAGAAGAGGACCAGGAATTCAGCCTCTGGAGAGTTAATATGGGGTAGCTGTGGATCCCTTCCATATCGCTTGATATGACTGACCTTCTAGGTAGGAAACAAACCATTGCCATGCTGAGCCCTGGATTCCAAGACTCAAGGGTAGACAAGAGACTCTTGTGATTGATGGTGTCGAATGCTGCTGAAAGGTCGAGGAGAATGAGGCCTCTTGGTGTTCCCAGTGAACATGTGCCTGCCACTTCAATGCCCTCAATTCTGAGTGTCTGTTTAAGGAACAGCAGGACTTAATAAACTGGCCTGGACACTATGAGAGATGAGCGAAAACATAATGTCCTCTATGGGGGGAAAAAGCAGAACGTTCTTCCTGAAAGACAGTGTATCTCATTTCCAGATGCATGAAAAGCATAGAAGAGTCACCACCATGGACCCTCACCAGAAATGGTACAAGTCCAAGCATTTGGTAGCTGGTGATTAAGGTTCTTAGACTTTTTTTCCCCTCTTCCTGTAAGTTTTAATTTAGCACAGGGTCACAGTAAGGATTGAGTGCCCCCCAGTGGCCACAGTCAGCCAGGACCAACCAGCCCATTTGGCAACACCAGCAGCTGCCTAGGGCACTTTATTCTGCAGGGGCCAATTTGGCAAACCGCCCATTTCGGGTATATGCCGCGTGATCGTCTGAGAGTGTGAGATTGGCAGCTGGCACCCTCCGCATGGGGGTGGATCTTACCCTGTTATATTAGTGGGGTGAAACCAAAGAATGCAACAAATGTTTCAAGGAAGAAACCAAAGCTGGTCAATACGACAATGCTGGATGGATGGATGGATGGAGAGAGACTCCTGAACTGCAGTTTTCTGCAGTTGACATAGATGGCCGCATGGGGGGGGGGGCGCCAACCTCTGAGGGAGCTCTGACTTGCCAGCCAAGGACACTCTTAGATTGGCATGGCGTGACCAAAAAGGGGAGAGATGAATAAGATGGGGTCAGCAAAGAGAAGCATTCCTATGTAGCTATACTTCTGCAAATGGCAAATAAAGCATGCTTGTTGTTTGTTTGTTTCGTCATACTATTCGATCATTGTGGAAATTAACGAAATTAACGCAGTTAAAGTCAACCCGATCAAAGACATAACCGCGCGTTGTGACGTCGAGGCAACTGGTCTGTAAGATTATTTGTAGTAATTTATATATAAAATGCTTCATTGTGTAATATTGCATCGTTACATAATATTAAATAATGAAGCTTTTTTTTTCCCCTTCGTCCCTTCATTTTCGCATTTATTTTTGACAGACGGTCTGGGGCGGGAGGCTGAGGATGAGTGTAACATTCCCTTTATTGGTCAAGCCGGTTCGGTTTCGCTTTCGTTTCCTGCATCTGATCTCGAATTCTCGATTTCTTAAGTCGAGATGCGTTGAAGTATCCAGGGAGCTCAGACAACAGACGCCTGCTCCCCGCCGCCTGCCTCATACCCAAACAAAGGTAGGCTGAATGAAAAAGAAGGTATTTTACGTGATTGCTGGAGATAAGCAGGAATATTGATAATCATACGGTTGGTTATTAAAACTAAAAACAGCTTTTCAGTAATTGGATACGTGTGAGGTAGGGTTGGCATGATATGGCAAAATATATTAGCACAATTTTTTTGATCAAAATATAAAGTTAATTTTTGCTAAAAGAAAAAAATCGAATCCTCTTAAACAAATTAAGAACATGAAATATGACCATAAATTCAATGTACTGCAAACTGTCATCTTTATCAAATAATCCATTCATCTACCAATATTCTTTTTAACCTAACTTTTTTTGTCACCGGGCGTAAAACTACAAAACTCAGAAGGTTCGGTAAGTCGCTGGACTTTTTCCCTGAATGTTACGAGGGTTGGCAAAATAAGTTCGGCTCTTTATAATAAACTGCACCAGTCTGTTGCGCGTCGAACTTTACATACCCAAAGTAGCCTGCCTAGGGCAAGTCAAATTGTCTTTTATTATTATAACGCTTCCTCGTGACAACTTAATTCTTACTAGTTAAAATGCAAATTTTGCTAGTAAGAATATGAATTCACGAAACTTACAATGCTTACTAGCAATAATGATCATTTTTACTAGTAAAAATTAATGTTATAGATTTTTAATAATCATGTATTTGTGGTAAGCCGAATTATCTTTTAATAGTATAAGGCTTACTGGTCATACTTTGATTTCTACTAGTAGAAATAACATTCTTGCTAAGTAAAATGCAAATTCCAGATGTCTATAGTTCTGTTTTAACTTGTATGAATCATCGTTGTTACTAGTAAGAACTGTATTATTACTAGTAAAGAACTAACCATATCTGAAACTATATATATATATATATATATATATATATATATATTCCCATTTACTTCCATTGTATTTTGCCTTACCTATCCAAAATTCAATTTTTACTAGTAAAATGTCATATTGAAGAGATCTATAATTCAATTTTGACTAGTACAAACTCCTGTTCTAGATACCTGTAACGACAAACCCCATTTCCAGAAAAGTTGGGATATTTTCTAAAATGCAATAAAAACTAAAATCTGTGATATGTTCATTTACGTGGACCTTTATGTAACTTACAGAAGTACAAAGAAAAGATTTTCGGTAGTTGTCCTGACCAACTCAGTTGTATTTTATAAATATACACAAAGTTAGAATTTGATGGCTGCAACACAATCAACAAAAGCTGGGAGAGAGTAAAAATAAGATTGAAAAGTGCACAGATTATTCCAGTAACACCGGTTTGGAAGACTTGACATTAAGCAAGCTAACTGGTAGCAGATGAGGTATGATGATTGAGTGTAAAAGTAGCATAAGTAAGGATAAGTCTCAGGCTTTGCAAGTAAGGATGGGTCATGGCTCACTTCTTTGTTCCAAAATTCCTGAGAGAATTGTTAGTTACGTCAAAAGGAACATTCTTCAACACAAGATTGCGGAGAATTTAGGTCTTGCAACAGTACATAATATTGTAAAAAGACAGATATAGCCCAGGATTGCCAACTGTCACGCATCTGGTGTGACTCACACTCACGCAAGACATCTTATGGTAAATCATTGTTATTCCATTATTAACCTAAAATTAGCTAAATCAAAAGCATTGGGATAGTTTGCAAATCCTACAGACTGTTTGCAAGGTATTCAGCCTGTTACATACATGTAAATGCATGTGCAGACTTGTCTCGAACTGAAAATCTTATCCCAGCCAGCCGACAAATGTTTGCAACCCCGATAGCCACCTGGGCTCAGGAATACTTAGGAAAACCATTGTCACTTAACATCCACCATTGCTGCATCCACAAATGCAACTTGAAACTATTACTGAAGGAGGAAGCCATACATCAACTCTGTGCAGAAACGCTGGCAGGTTCTCTGGGCCCGAGCTCATCACAGATCGACCGAAAGATTGCAGAACTGTGTGCGGTGGTCAGATGAGTCCCCATTTCAGCTTGTTTTCAGAAAGAACAGGCGTCAAATTCTCCGTGTCAAAGATGAAACCAACCATCTAAATTGCTATTGCAAAAGCCAGCACCTGAGATGGCATGCAGGTGCATCAGTGCCCATGGCGTGCAGGTGAACTGCATGTAGGTGAAGGTACTGATTGTCTGATGCATATATTAGGGTTTTAGAGAGAAATATGTTGCTATCAAGGTGACGTCTCTTCCTGGAACATCCATGCTTATTTCAGCAGGACAATGCAGACCATATGCTACGCAGACTACAACAGTGTGGCTTTGTAGACATGTGCACGTGCTTGATTGGCCTTCTGCCAGTCCAGATCTGTCTCCTATTGAAAATGCCTAGTGCATCATGAAGAGGAGAATTGAACAACGGCAACCATAGAATGCTGAGCAGCTGAAATCTTACATCACGCAAGAATGGATAAAATGTGATGTAACACAACTGTAAATATGCCTCTGTCCTAAACTTTGTTGAGTGTGTTGCAGCCATCAAATTCTAACTTTATGTTTATTTACAAAATACAATTAAGTTGGTCAGTAAAACTGTTGAAGATCTTTTCTTTGTACTTTTGTCAGTTAAATAAATTAAGGTCCACGTGAATTAACAAATTACAGATTTTTGTTTTTATTGCATTTTAGAAAATATCCCAGCTTTACTGGAAATGGGGTTTGTACATTTAGACTAATAAGAATTACAGGCCCACATATTCATAACTGAAATTTTACTAGTAAATATTTTATTGTATGTATCCAATTCCCTGGCAATCTGCAGTAACGTTAACATCACTAAACGTGAATTCCCTTCAACTGGAGGATATTTTTCTATATACAGTGGTACCTCAGTTCTCGAACTTAATTCGTTCCGGACTCCGGATCGAATCCTAAAAAGTTCCAGTTCTGATCGAATTTTTCCCATAAGAAATAATGGAAATTAATTGGTTCCCGGCCAAAATTACACCTAAATATGTTTTTTTTAGCATTTAAACACAAAATGAACAGGATTAAACA